CCTCATTTGATCTTATAGCCGTATTGATTACCATTTCTGCTCGTATCAGTGAATCACACACTATATTGATTTGAATGAATCCGATCATTTTCTCTTCTCCTATTCTCGTTGAAACTTTTGTTAGTATTCTATGGCTGTTCTTCGTTTTGCCAACAATCATAAATATAACACGTCTGAATAAGAATAACCAAACTTAACATTCACAAATTGTTTAAAATAACAACTGCGCCATATAAAAATGGAAATTAAGCAATAAAGGTCCAAAAAATGAATAAACAATGACATTTTATGATGAATAGTTTTCGCAGCCATAGAACTCCATTATTGTTTTCTTTAGATGAAAGGAGATTCCGTGAAACACAAATATAACGGGTAAAATATGGTAACACTTGCATTTGTTACAGAGAAACGGCGTAACCAAAATATGTTGTACATAAATTCATGCGTTACCTGTATTGGCTTCCTCAATTTGTCAGTCGGTGAGAAAAGAAAAGAAAACTAGGAAATTGCTATTTTACAAGAAAATAGGCTAGCTCGCTTACCACTGGTACAGATATCATTTCGTTAACATAGCATGCTTTTTTCCTTACCGTTAAAAATCTTGTATCTTTTACTCGTCGCAGTTTCATATCCACATTAGAAAATGCCTGAATCTGTTAAACACTGTACCCCTCTCATTCTTACTTTTAAATAACATAATAGCACCTCTCCGTAAGCAGAGAGAACACGATTAACTCCTATCTTAATCAAAAAACTAGTACAAATTTTTAAAAGAGGACAAAACGCAGCTGTTTTATCTCTGACTTGTACAACTATACACATGTCCATCGTAACTCCCATACAATCCTAACTGTCACTGCAGTCATCCTCTAACCCTATTTTTTAGAAGATCAAAAGACCTCAATTTAGGGATCCACTCCTTTCGATAAAGAACATTATTACATATAAATTAGAAGCATACCGTACACCATAAGGAATAAAAAAAAAGAAAACTAATGTAACTTTTCCAGATTCATTTGCTAACTTTGACAACAAGAAGTGACCACCACTCAACTGTAAGCACCTTACAAATTTGAGGAATTTTCAAATAGATTATATGTCCGGTTAGAGACCAAGCAAGTTCTCTTTACAGTTCCTCCAATTACCACCTGTACTTTTGGGAAGCATATGGCAGCGAGTTACAAGCGATTAAAATGATGAGATTTCAAAGGATCAGTACATTCAAAGGATCAGGCATTGTGAAGTGCGTAAGATCAGAAACAAACAAAACCTTTATCACCAAAATTAGCAAAACAAAACAATCCGTTCGGAATAACACAATAACGATTTAAAGGGGTGTTCAAATATTCGACGGATATAACATCTGAAAAAAAAGAGCGTACAGGAGCAAAAAAACAACTACATCCCAACTTTCCACAACTTGATTCCCTTTAATTAAGTTATTAAGTTTGCAACCAAAAGTTAAAAAGAAAAGTGTTCAAACTATCTTTACGCAAAGCTTACATACTGCACCTACATATTTTGAAACACTAAAGCATACCTCAAAAAATTTATATTTCAAAAGAGAACTAAAATGCTGCAGTAAGTTATCAACTATTAGAAACAGGAAAGCACGACTAACCACACGAATACGATTCCCCATTGCTTTTGGAGGAAGATTATGGTGAAACTTCGCCCTAACAACGCCACTATTACCATGAACTCGAGTTATCCTGCCCCAGATGGCCCTGATACGGGACGGTTTCCTTCCAGGGATTTTACATTTGTTATGGCCTTTATACAAATAGAGAGCCCTTTTCCCAACATACCTAAAAAACAAAATTTTTTTGCAGAAAAATTCATAAAGCTTCTTTACATAAACCCTCACTTCTGAACGACTTAATTTTTATTTTTAATTACACTTCAAGAAAAACAACCAGTTAGTGTAAGACCATGTATGTTAGTTTCAAATCTGAAAACTTAAACATCAAAGAAATTGAGAAAGTAAGACTGCGGTAAAATATAAAAAAATTCTGAAAATAAGTCTTTCAAACAAATAAAGTGAAAAGTAAAAAAACACTAAGGGCAAGTGGACTTCAACTGACACACCACTTAACGAAATGCAAGAAAAAGACAGAACTTAATCATAACGGCATGGACAACTACCAGAAGTTATCTCAGTGCTCCATAAAATATGGAGATGTGAGAGTAAGAACCTCACAAAAACTAGGACCAAAAGTTGCACAACTCTGAAGGCAAAAAAGCGCACCAATCCGCCAGTAAAAAGCGTACACAAATTAAAGTCTAGCTGCGAAAGAAAATACACGCGTGATAAGAATATGCATCAAATAATTGTTCTAGCTTAAACTTTTTACCATTGAGCATCAGACTTGTTGTAGACACCGTCAAGCTTAATTAATGCAGTATGCTCTCTCTGATTACGATGCGAACGCTTGTATCCCGTGAATACACCTTTTACGTAGAGCCTAAAACAAAGTAGAATTAGAAAAAAAATGTATCAGGAGCCCTTTTTTTAATGTGACCGGGACCGCCCACCAGCTTCTGGATCCAAAAACTAGTAATTTTTGTTTCCAAAAATTTAAAAGTCCCACCGTCCTATAAGCGCTGGACCCTGCCTTCTTTCCACTGTCGTTTCTGTAGCCATGCCTCAAGTTGACCTGCAAAAACCAAAAACCTTAAATCGATTAATTTTCATAGCATAGGTAACAGATAAGTTCGTAACTACGACAAGAAAGAAATCATGAAAGAAAAAGAAAAGATCTAAATAACATTTCAGGTGAAAGTGGGGAATTTCACTCGTAAAAATGCCTCTCTCAACAATATCGCAGAAAGACAGTGATATCCACACCAAACAGTTGTAATCATTAAACAAAAAAAACATCACAGTCAAAAAGAACTCGTTTACTATGCTGGATAATCCAGTTACCACTTTCAAAAGCTGTGATAAAACGATAACCGAAATACCAAAAGAGCAGAAACTCAAGCTGCATCGCATTACAGTTGACTAAAGACAAAAAAGGATGTCAAAGAGGCCCAACCCAACGTTTATATAGCAAAAAAGTTGCAAATGCCACTTCTAAAAACTAAGAAGTAGAAACCCGACTTCTTTTGGCAGTATTTCTTCGTTTTTTCCATTAATCCAGTGAGTTAATTCAAAATTTGTAGGCTGCTCGGAATTATTGCCTTTTGAAAACGATCCAGCAGAAAATTTGCGTTTCAAAAGTTCGTTTTCTCTAACAGCTCTAAAATTTTAGTCTTATTTTAAAATTGAAAGTGGCGAAGTTGAAAGATGACATACGCGGTAAGTGATAGTTTCGGTTTGTGTATTTGCTAAATTATCAGAAATGTTACGGCAGTGGATTTCCAAGTTTCTGTTTAACTCTCTTGTCCACCATTTGTTGTTTCCGTGCTTGATTTTTTTTTTCTTATTGTCTTTTTATTTTCCGGAAAAAGTAACAAATATTACAAGTATTTCCGCATTCTGTATATAGCAAAGGCCGCTTTTTTTTACTTGTCACTTCAGCGGAATTTCCTAAACTGTTCAAAGGCGGGACATGCTACTGAACTGTACTCCTTAGGTGAATTGATGCTAGCGAGGGTAATAGCATATAATGCGGCAAGGCGATGGGAACGTAAAATAGTTCAGTTCAATTTTACTCGATGTCTCGGTGAGTACGAAAGACAAGACCCGAAATCTGAAGAAGATGTTGTTAATATTTCTTTTGTACTTCGTGATGGTACAGTAAAAAAAGTTCGGGGTAAAGTCGGCGACAATTTACTGTTCCTCGCCCATCGGTAAATTCTTAAATAAATCTTTTTTTCTTATGTTCCCACTTGTAAGCCTTGTTTAATTATCTTAATTGAATAAAGTATTAGTTTTGGACATAATGTAGTAGGCTTTTCGCCGCACTCTTAAAATTCTTAACTATCCCCTTGACTCAGAGTATTAATTACTTTTCCGCTATAAGCTGTAGACATGCTTTCATATGTAAACAAACAAGTTCAGCCGAATAAAGTGTCGAACATCGATACAGAAAAAGTTTGATCCGGTTGTATAAGTCGTGCAACATTTACGTTTGTTAACTGTTATATCAACAAGCTGGTTTGGCTCTTTGTCTTTCAGTTTTTTAATATAATTGTTACCTAGAGGTATGGAATAGAACTTGAAGGAGCATGTGAGGCATCTCTGGCTTGTTCAACTTGCCATGTTTATGTAAATGATGATCATTTGAAGAAACTTCCCGAACCGAAAGAAGAAGAAGAGGATATGCTTGATTTGGCTCCGGTCTTAAAACCAAATTCAAGACTTTCGTGTCAGATTATTCTGGCTAAGGAGCTTGACGGAATGGTGCTTACTTTGCCAAAAATAACTCGGAACTTTTATGTTGATGATTATACTCCTAAACCTCATTGAACCGTTGTATCCTTTTTTTTTTCCATTTTTCAGCTACTGTATAATGGTTACGTTTTGAAATGTAGATGGGTTTCACACAACTGTGACAGATTTGAAGCTTATGTATTATAACTGAAATTAGAATCTGGTAAAATGCTCGTTTTCATTGACAAATTTTAATATGATTTCATTTACACATTATCATGTAAGTCTATTTTAAGATCTTTTGGTTATCATTCAGCTCCAATTCTTCAGCGTCTTTCAATTTTTTTGTTAACGAACAGTTGAATTGCGTTGAATGATAAGATATAAATTTTTGTATTGAAGAACTTTTGGTTTGAACAGAAAAATCTATACTGTGGATTCGTAATAGAGGTTCTGAAAACTTGTGTAAAAGGAGTTGCGTACTATACGAATCGTATTAATGCAGTTTTGGTCATTTTACAAGTTATTTTTTAGAGTGGGTTTTCAATAGCATTAATTGTGCATACATTTTTTGGATAGGTACGGTAAGGGTAATTTTAAATTATGAGCAGAAAACAAGTGAGTGTTATTTAAAGGCTTGAGTTTTAGGCATTTAGAGACAGCTGACTTTTTAAAAAACGACTCAAGTATAGTTGCAAGTTGACAAAAAAAAAGATGGTTAAGTGGTTTTAGAGGGTATGTAAAAAATTGCAGGCTAGAAGTAACGGTACATTTGGGTCAGGGATCACTTCCTTCAATCCTCTTGCAGTTGAATTTTACCATTGGAAGGGTACCAGTGAGATAAAAAAATGAACTTTCGCCAAAGAAGGTTACGGGAGATGGAACTTTTTAAGCAACCAACAATTCTAGATGAACGTAAGCACTGCAAATTGCAATAATGCTGCATTTTTTGAGAACTATTTCAAGCGACAAGGTAATGATTCTAAGATTCTTACGCAGATTATTAGTGAAAAAAGTGACAGATGATCTGTGATTTTTATTGGACAGAATCTCAGGAGCCGTCCATGATCATTTTTTAATTTTATTTCAAAATATTCTTTGTCGCAAGAAATATACTACCTTTTTTTTTTTTTTTTTTTTTTTTTTTTTTTTTT